AGGAAAAAAAGTAAGACTAAAGCTACATATCAAAAGAGATATAAAGATTGGGGGGGAGGGGGGAAGAGTCATCTTACAGAAGGTTTAGCTGAATCCATGAAAATGGTGGGGGCTGCTGAAGGGTGATGGAATTAGGTCACAATCTCCAAGAAAACATCATGTGGTCAAGTGAATGTACGTAGTGTTAACCTTGGGAAAGAGCAAGAATATTTTTTCTTTGAAATATTCAAAGCAGAGAAATAAAGTATAGGTGAAGTCACTACGAACTGTTGAAGAAGAAAGCCTTGATTTATGAAGAAGGGAACAGGCTTCTGAATACAATGAAAAAAGTCCACTGTGAGGATTCAATTGGAAACCAACAAGAAGTCAATAAGATGACTATTAAATTGTAACAGATATCCAGTTAAAGTCAGACAAAAATTGTGATAGATACAACCATCTTGCTTTTGTGACCTCTAACAGTTCTAGAAGCAGAAAAACCAGACAACAGGGGCCCTGGGGAATGAAGACCAGAATGGTATACAGACGAACTATCCAGTCAAGAAATTCTAAAGGTGATAGCAGAAACAATATATATATTTTTAAATTTTTGTGGGTACATGGCAGATATATATTTTTTGGAGTATAAAATATTTTGATATAGGCATGAAATAAGTAATAATCACATCAGGGTAGATAGATATCCATCACCTCAAGCATTTATCTTTTGTGTTATAATCTAATTATACTCTTCTAGTTATTTTTAAATGTATAATTATTGTTAACTATAGTCACCCTGTTGTGTTATCAGGTAGATCTTATTCGTTCTATTTTTTTTGTACCCATTAACCATCCCCACTCCCCCCACACTTATATGCCCAACTACCCTTCCAGTCTCTGGTAACCATAATTCTATTCTCTAGCTCCATGAAGTTCGATTGTTTTAATTTTTAGCTCCCACAAATAAGTGAGAACATGTGAAGTTTGTACCTGTCTTACTTCACTTAACATAATGACCTCCAGTTCTATTCAAGACAGGATTGCAAATGACAGGATTTCATTCTTTTTCACAGCTGAATAGTACTCCATTGTGTTTATGTACCACGTTTTATTTATCCATTCATCTGTTGATGGACACCTAGGTTGCTTCCAAATCTTGGCTATCGTGAATAGTGCTGCAATAAACCTGGGTGTACAGGTATCTCTTCTATATATTGACTGCCTTTCTTTTGGATCTATACCTAGCAGTCGGATTGCTGGATTATGTGGTAGCTCTATTTTTAGTTTTTTGAGGAACCTTCAAAACTGTTCTCCACAGTGGCTGTACTAATTTACATTCCTACCAATAGAGTATGAGGGTTCCCTTTACTCCACATCCTCACCAGCATTTTGTTATTGCCTGTCTTTCAGGGGAAAATAAAAACCGTTTTAACTGGGATGAAATGGTATCTCATTGTAGTTTTGGTCTACATTTCTCTGATGATCAATGATGTTAGGCACCTTTTCATATACCCCCTTGCCATTTGTATGTCTTCTAACAAAAGCAATGATAAAGCAGCAGACCAGAAGGTCTCCATTGGGAAATGGGATGAGCAAAACAGGAAAGTATTAAATGGCCAGGAAAAATGGAGAAGTAGGGGTCAGACCAAAATGAGAGAATTTAAAAGTTCAGATGTAAAGTGACAGAAGAAGATGAAGATAAGAAAACTGTTGTCGAAGAAAACACTTTTTAACTTAATATTTTACAGGTGGTTTAGCTCTTAATAATGACAAGACCAATGCAGTGGAGTTTAATGGCTAAAGGAGAGATAAAGTTCAATGAAAAAGGAAAACATGGCTGGGCATGGTGGCTTATGCCTATAATCTTAACACTCTCGGAGGCCAAGGTGGGCAGATGGCTTGAGCCCAGGAGTTCCAGACCAGCCTGGCCAACATGGCAAAACCCCATCTCTACAAAAAAATACAAAAATTAGCCAGGCGTGGTGGTGCATGCCTGTAGTCCCAGCTACTCAGGAGGCTGAGGTGGGAGGATCACTTGTGCAGGGGAGGCAGAGGTTGCAGTGAGCTGTGATTGTGCCACTGCAACGAGTGAGACCCTGTCTCCAAAAAAAAAAAAAAAAAAAAGTACATATAAATACCATGAGGTCAAGAATTAGACTGGGAAGCACTACTATGTAGTAGGAGCTTCCTTATCTTTAAACTGAAGTGGGCGGGGGAATACACATAAGACTTTCGTGAAAAAAATTTTTTTTAAAAAGCAAAAGAAGAGAACCTAACATGGCAGTAGATATTAGGATATGTTTTAAAGGTAGGTTGCTGAGATCATTGCGTCTCCTCTCCTATACCCCTATAGAAGACAGCTCTGTGAGTGCCCATCCCACAGTTCCTAACAGACAGTATGTTATACATCTCAAAATATTCAATAAACAAGCAATCTCTTCATCAACCGTTTGTTCATTCATTCCTTCAATTATTTCTTCATTTAACTAACATTTACTGAGTGCTACTGAATACCAGGCACTGGCAGAGGGAATGGTAGGAACAGCAGTTGTGTTAGTAACATTTACCAAGTTCTTACTACAGTCAGGCATTATTTCCACCAGTTCTCATCTAATGTTAGTCTATCAAGTTCTAGCAAGTTTACGTTAGTTTATTTAATCACTAAAACAACTCTATGAAGTAGGTACTCTTATTATCCCCATTTTATAGATGAGGCCACTGCAACTCAGAGACAGTACGTTGAATGTTAATGGTTAAATATAAGTGGTGGGCTCTGGGATACAAACACAGACATTCTGGCTCTAGAGCGAAGTTCTTTACCACACTTCGCCACCTCTGAGAAGATAATCTTTTGCCAGTCAAATGAACATTAATTCTATATTTCTAAATGTCCTATCTTCTCTATGCATGAAGTTTAGGGGAAAAAACCTCTTGTATTACATGTACTTTTAAATATTAAAGCTATTAGAAGTCTAAGACTTCTCAAAATTATCTTTTTCTCCCCATTATTCCCAAAAACATACAAGCTCTCTTCTTAGCAAAAGCTGAAAAACTCCAATATTGGATCTAGTTAGGAACCTGAACTTATGATGTCAACATCAGCTGACAACAGATAAACAAGAAGAATATGATAAGGAGTTAGTGAATTGTGCAAATACTATAGTATTCAAAGGAAAGAGATCATTTTGAACTTGGGGGACTGGGGAAGGAAAGGCCAGTCGGCAGAGGCCAGTCTTCATCGAAGAGGTCAGTTCTAAACTAGGCTTTGAAGAAAAGGGTAGAAGACATTTCACAGAGAAAAGACATCACACACAAGAATGTGGAGGCCAAAAATGAAAAAACTTATTTGAAGGAAAGCAAGTAAGTAATAGCACTCTAGAAGGTTTACGTAGGGGTATAATGGCAGAAATGCCTCCAAGGGCAGGTGGCTCTTGTTGAATGTTGAATGTCAGTCTAATCAACCACGAGGGGAAATGTCATCTGCCACATTCAGTCTAATATGATCATTAAAACACTTATCCTCCCCTCTTAGGCCAGGTGTGGTGGCTGAGGCAGGAGAATTGCTTGAACCCAGGAGGTGGAGGTTGCAGTGAGCCGAGACAAACCACATCTAACTAGATTTACTTTCTGGGGGACAAAGTGAGACTCTGTCTCAAGAAAACAAAAAACAAACAAATAAAAAACACTTATTCTCCTCTTACAGGATCACAAATTTGCTAAAATGATGCTATAGTCATGTATGAAACTGCCTAAATTTAAAAGAAATCTACAGTAATTACAAATTGCTTTTAAAAAGCATAACTCATAGAGTGGCTAAAGATTTCCTACTTCAATTTCATATTCATTTCTTAAAGTCCCTTAATAACCACATCCTTGAACAATGTTTTCTAAGCTTCTACTTGAACACTTTCAAGTGATGGGGGGTTTACTATTTTGTAGAGCCTAAGATACCCTATGCCACCTTATCTAAACAAGTCAATTCCTGATGTAGAACAAAGTAGACAGAAAGGGTTATAAAACATGTTTTCTACAATTAAATTTTCTAAATTAAAATAAAACAAAATCCCCTATGTGCCACAAATATAAGCTCTTTCATTGGAGAATAAACATAGAAAAGTATCTTCAGTGTAGTACGGCAGATATTAGTTGCATGTCACCCAAAATCTGTTTTTCTCTATTCTGACTTTGGTGTGGGTGGGGTGGGGTAGGATGAACACACCTTCCACCCTATCAGCAATGTGTTTCTAGTGAGGCCAGTAACTTCGCAGCTCCAGGGTAGAATCTATGACTGTGAAATTGTGATTGGTCAGGATTCGACACATGGCCAAAGCTAAGGTGATCAGCAATAATTGTGTTACTCCTATTAAGGTCTAGAAAGAATAGCCTCCTAGGGACTCAGTTCCAAAAATGTGAGGCTAACATTGCTACGACCACCTTATCATCACCAAGGGAGAACCTATCCGAAAATGAAGCCAATGCAAAAGAAGTGGAACCTAGAAATAGAGATGGGAGATCTGAGTCCTCATGACATGAATTACCTAATTCAAACCACATCTAACCAGATTTACTTTCTTCTTCATGAATCAATTTGTGTTCAGTTTTCTTCCACTACCATATGAAAGAGTACTAACTGACACATATGGTAATAGCCAAATCCTTTAACAAGAAAATGAGGTGAACTTCTCAGCACTTACCTATTATCATGCATAATTATGTAATTTGGTTGTATCGATAACTGACTACAGATATTAAATTTTTAAAATGAATCTGGCATATTTTAACATAGAATTTCACTTTCAGCTAGACAAAAATCAGTATTTTACCCTGCAGAAAGCAGGAGAAAATAAATGAGTATAACTTTACTATATATTATAACACTGTAAAGGAAAAATAAACAACTCAGAAATTGTAAGTTCCTATTACATCACATCACAGTTATTAAAAAACAAACAAACAGAAAACAGACAAAAAAAGAAAGCAACAACTAATGAACTATCTGGAAGCCACGTAAAGATCCTTACTTGAAGCTGAAGAGTATGTCGAAGAATCGTTTCTTCTAAGGCATGGATCCACTTCTCTCGCTCATCAGCATCACGAGCTGGAATAAAAGATTATACATTAAAATTAAAAGTTTAATTTATATAATATATCTCCATATTTGAAAGTATAATTTTAAAACTATGATGGCTAACAGAAAAGGTTTTTAGTTGTACCATTTCCTTAATTGGTTCAGCTATCTTTTACAGATATGCAATCTACTTGCAACAATTTATAAGAAAGGGAATAATTGTGTTCAATAATAGCAGGCTACATAGTTCAGACCAACATTCCCACTGAGAACAACTAGAAAAGCTAGACTGATTTTTAAAAAACAACTGGTTGAAGGCATCACAAACCAACAAGGTAATAAAGAATTATCAAGCCAAGATCTGGGAGAAGACAATCTAGAAGATAAACCTTGTATTTAGGGACATTTCTCATGGAGGCATTGCAAATTCCAGGAGAGGAATTGCACACTGGACAATGCACTTAAAAGCTTGTCAATATGTGGGGGAAGTCAGCATATGAGAACTCTACTTTCTGTTCAATTTTGCTGTGAACCTAAAACTTCTTTAAGAACAAAAAAACCGGCTGGGTGCAGTGGCTCATGCCTGTAATCCTGGCATTTTGGGAGGCTGAGGCAGGCGGATCACCTGAGGTCAGGAGTTCAAGACCAGCCTGGCCAACATGGTGAAACCCCATCTCTACTAAAAATACAAAAATTAGCCGGGCATGGTGGTGGGTCCCTGTAATCCTAGTTACTCAGGAGCCTGAGGCAGGAGAATCACTTGAACCGGGGAGATGGAGGTTGCAGTGAGCCGAGATCGTGCCACTGCACTCCAGCCTGGGCAACAGAGGGCGACTCTGTCTCAAAATAAATAAATAAATAAAAATTAAAACAAAAAAAATAAACAAACAAACAACAAAAAAAAACACACAAGCCTTTTCAGGCCAAAAGTTGGAAGCCAGGGCCCACCAACAATGGGAGCTGTGGTAAACAGTCCATGTTCTAGTTGGGACCCCAAATAGCTTCTCTGGGGGAGTAGTGATAAACTAGAATTAAAACAATTGCTTGGTCATATAAGTGACCCAGAAAAATCTTGACGCCTGATTGTTAGTGACTCCAGGCATCTACTAGCAAAAGCAAATGAAAATCTTTTCTGTAGGAAGATAACATCATCTTAGCTGCTTAATTAAATTTACATAAATAATTTTTAAAATACAATGTCTAGCACATAAGCAAAGATGACCAAGTACACATAAATGGAGACACTTTTGGAGACAAAAATCACACATAAATGAGAACCAAAAGACAATAGAAACAGATCAACAGGAGCTCCAGATTATTGTATAAATGACGTAACTTTTTCCTTTTTTATTTTTAGGGGTTTTTTTCCACTTAGATTTATAAAATAATCAAATCAAATATAAATTCCAGAAGTGACAAATAATCAAAATTAAGAATTCAATAGATGAGTTTAACAGCAGATTAAGTGCAACTAAAGAGACAATTACAGAACCGGGAGCAGTTAGAAGAAACCCATCAGAGCAAAAGACAGTAAGTCAAAGAGAGAGAAAATACAGAAGAAAGGGTAAGCAACACAGAGTATGAGAAAATATAACACACATGTGATTGGAACCCCAGAAGAAGACAAAAGAGAGCATGGCACAGAAGCACTATCTGGCTGAGAATTTTCCAAAACTGATTAAAGACATTCAGAAGTCCTAGGAATCCCAAGCAAGATAAAATCAAAGAAATCCACAAGTTGGGCACATCTCAGTAAAAATTACTGCAAACCAAAGATAGGCAGTATCTTTAAAACAGTCAGGGAGAAAAAAGGCCAGGTTACTTTTAAAGAAACAACAATTAGGCCGGGAGTGGTGGCTCATGCCTGTAATCCCAGCACTTTGGGAGGCCGAGGCGGGTGGATCACGAGGTCAGGAGATTGAGACTGTCCTGGCTAACACGGTGAAACCCCGTCTCTACTAAAAATACACAAAAAATTAGCCGGGTGCAGTGGCAGGTGCCTGTAGTCCCAGCTACTTGGGAGGCTGAGGCAGGAGAATGGCATGAACCCGGGAGGCGGAGCTTGCAGTGAGCCAAGATCGCGCCACTGCACTCCAGCCTGGGCGATAGAGCAAGACTCGTCTCAAAAAAAAAAAAAACAAAACAATTAAATTAAGCTAGGCTCTCAAAAGAAACAATGAGAACCAGGAGACAATACAGTATGATATTTAATGGCTAAAAGAGAATAACTGTCAATTTATAATTCACTGAAATATATCCTTTAAGAATTAAGATGAAATAAACTCATTTTCAGATTCACAAAACCAGAATCTGCTATCAGCAGATGCTCATTTAAAAAAATTCTAAAAAGTATTCTTTTCTAGGCATAAACAATGCCTGATGGAAGGTGGTAGGAGCTGCACAGAATGAAGAGCAACAGAAATTATAAGTATGTGGATAAAACTAAATATTCTCTATATACAATCATAATATTTAATATCTTGTGGGGCTTTTTCTGGCTCTCAGTGTCCTGTTTTTATTGTTTTGCAGCAGCACGCCTAACACAGAACATAATTACAAATACTGTGCAAAAGAAGAGCAAGTGCTTAAGTACAAATGGGAGATACAATTCCTTTTATTTAAATAAATACTTAAAAACAACTCAGGTCCTACAAGCATCTGGACTCTAGGTCGGAGCTGGAGTTGCCTTGCCTGTGTGCTCACAATGAAGTCATGATTCTCCCACCCCCAATAATCAATACATGGAATCAGGTGCCAATGGGGAATGTGATCACAATGAGCCCCTTTTCTAGAGCCTACCTCAGCCCTCTACAGATATAATCTCTGGCCAGGACAAAGACAACTGGAATTTATTGAAGGTTCATAATGTGTAATAGTTAAGTATTCTACATGATTTTCTGGGTTGCCATTTCTATGGAGGAGACATATGCACTTAGGTGACTTTCTTCAGCTCATAATAGAGGACCAGATTTGGCCCCATGCCTCTGAGGATGTTGGACCATGCACCCTTGAAAAAGGCTTTGCCCCTTCATCGTAGGAGAGCTTCTGCCAACAATCATGGGCACTTGTGTACGTAATATCAGCTTCTTTGCGCCTGGACTGCATCACCATCCACCTGCACTGTGAGGAGTGGGTAGGAGGCCACGTGGGCCACTGCCATGGCCTGGGCAATCATCCAGCTCATCATGTGGTGGGTGTTCTTGGGGTCAGGGAGCATGCTCTTGGCTGTATCATACACGCTGAGGTAGGTTGCCCAGTACATATGGATGCCCTGCACCAAGACGCTGAAGCCCTCGGACAGGCCTCAGACACCCTCAGGCTTGATCTTCTCCAGGCAATCTGACTTTTGAGCCCCCACTCTGTGCCCAATTTCCCAACATTGGCTGCCAGGAGGGTTCTGGTGAATTCCAGGGGGTAGAAGAAGCACAGGGAGGTGGCCCCAGCCGCCCCTTGGGAAGCCAGGTTGCCTGCAAAATATCTCCAGAACTGTGTGTGCTTGTGCATGCCTCCCAGAAAGACCTGCTTGTACTTATCCCTAAAGGCAAAGTTGAGGGCTTGCATGGGGAAGCAGTGAATGGTGCTGGCCAGGCACCCCTCCAGAAGGACAAATGCCCTGCCCCTTGGGGATGTGGACTTTGCAGCCCACCACACCACACTTTTGTACTGGGTCGCCACAATCTGCTTACTGGCATGTTGCACCCTCAGCAGTGCCTTGACCGACTCAACTCGGGTCGCTGTCCTCTTGGAAACAGCGAGGGTAATGCCTCCGGCCAGTAAGTCCTTGACAAAGGAGTGTGGCCTGTTCCATCCTGCTGGCCAGCGGGCAGCGGAGGGAGGGAGGGAGCTGTTTGCTCAGCTCTGCTGCTGCTAGGACCAAAAGGCTCTCATGGGATTTTAAATAAATATACGCAAAATTAAACTGCATACAGATTGTATATACAAAACAACTGCATATAGATTGAAAAAGGGAAAATGGAATAAAAAGTTTTAAGTTTCTTATATTGTTTGGGAAGAAGATAAAATTATCAATGATTTTGATCACTGAAGGATTTATGTTATAATATCTAAAATAATCACTAAAAGAAAAGCTTTATAAGTGTTTAACTTCTAACATTATTGAATTAAAAAATTCAATAATATAGATAATCCAAAAATTGACAAGAAAGGAGAAAAAGAAATAGAATATACAAGACTGAAAGAAAGCATACAGTAAGATGGCAAATGTTTAAGCCTAAAAAATCAATAATTAAATGTGAGTGAAGTAAATGTGCTAATTAAAATACAAAGGCTTTAAGATTTGTAAAAGTATATGATGCTTACAAGTGGCACATATTACATCACTCTCATTAATAAAGCAAGCAGATGAAACATTAATAAGGACATAGAAGATTTAAACAGTCTGATGAATAAACTTGATTCAATGAGCATATACAGAACACTGAACATAGCAAATGTAAAACAGATATTCTTTTTAAGCAGAACACAGAATATTTCTAAAAACTGACCAAATATTGGACCCTAAAACAAGTCTCAACAAATATCAAAGGACTGAAATCATATATTCTCTAATCATAGTGGAAATTTAAGCTAAAAACCAGTTTAAAAAAAAAAAAGGTTAATTAGAAAATCTAGGGTTTTTGATGCTCTCTGCTCCTCTCGTTTGACAGGCAGCCGCCTCTTCTCATGCAGCACCAGCCGTGTCCCTGAGACACCATGGTGAAAGTGAAGGCTGGAAAAAACGGATTTGGCTGTATTGGGCACCTGGTCACCAGGGCTTCATTTAACTCTGGCACAGCAGGTATTATTGTCATCAATGACCCCTTCTTTGATGTCAACTACATGGTCTACATGTTCCAATATGACTCCACCCATGGCAAGTTCCATGGCAGCATCAAGGCTGAGAATAGGAAGCTTGTCATCAAGGAAATCCCATCACCATCTTCCAGGAGTGAGATCCCACCAAAATCAAATGGGGGTGACACTGGTGCTATGTTGTTGGGTCCATGAGCATCTTCACTACTATGGAGAAG